CCACTAGAAGGAAGTTTTTGCAGAAATGGAAATTAGCCTCTTCTGACTTAGGTGTGATATGTCCTCCTGCTGTAGGGAGGATCCAGAGTCTTGTGAAAATATTACTCACTCTTTTTAAAAAATTGTTGATTTTGGATTGTGAGTTTTTTAGATTTTGGTGGGTTTTTTTGTTTGTTTTCTTTTAATATACCACAACTCAAAGGGTGAAACAAAATGACAGTATGAAGACTTGCTTCTCCTTCCATGAGACTCTGAAAAGCAAACATTTTTCTCCCTCATTTTACAATGCTGTCATCAATTGCAAACAAGTACAGCTTAAACCAGCTTAAGAACTCACTGAGCCAGCCTGACAGATGATATTTAGTAACCTGTTTAGTGATGTTGGAAAACATTCTTATGGACTTCTGAATGCTACCACATTTATGAATCTTTTTTCATCCTATAAGTTAACCTGCTGATTTATTCTTGATTTTAATTGCCCTTATTTTGCATGTTCAGGGGAACATTAATGTAAGCTGGCATTTAAGGAACAGCTTTTTATCTTAAAAGCATAATACAATACTTGGTGAGGTCTTCAGCCTTGCTGTTCCCTAGATTGCAGTGCAATACTGTCTGTCTCTGATTAGACAGGAAAAGATTTTAAAGTAAATTCTCAAAATTGAGAGCTGGTAAATGTTCCTGAGGATAAATGTTCATGTGGATGACTTGTGGCTTTTTTCTTTATCATTTGAAAGCTGTGTCAGTTAAGACTTACCCAGTGGTTGTACTGACTGTTGCCCCTCAGGAGTGCTGGTGCTATTGGAATAATTCATTTGTGCACCAGTTATTTTGCTTGAGTACGTGGCTCATCACTCAGCGACACTCCGTGGTGCTTGATTGTCTCACACATGAACAGGGATGCCCAGCTTTCTAATGATCTCCTCTTTCCTGCCATACCCAAGGTGAAGCTGTGTTTGCACGGTGCCTGTCTTCCCTCAAGGATGAGAGAGTGCAGGCCAGTAAGCTGCTGCAAGGGCCCAAAACGACCCAGTTCAGTGGGGACAAGAAGGCCTTCCTGGAGGACATCCGCAAGGTGAGTCCTTGTGCAGGGTTAGAGCAGGTCTGGGGTGCTGTGAACCCCGGGGAGCAGCTCTTGTGTGCATATTTCATGAGAACTGGTTCCTGCTCTCAGCACTCTGCGTTGTCTCCTGACGTCCACAAAGCATAATGTGACCCATTCCTAACCAAAGGAAGGTTAGGAAGGATCCAGAAGGAATTCAGCTCTAAGCCACGGTGGGCAGAGACATCTTCATGGGGCACAGAGATCATAAAACAGGCACAGGAGCTTGTCCCCCCTCAGCACTCCTGCCTTTGCCTGGCTATTGCTCTCTTCATCTTGCTCTGTTGATACCAAACTTCCCAATGGGAAAGGATATTTTGTTTCTCAAAGAACTGGAATGTTGCTACTGTAGTCATCCCTGTTGAGATGTGGGCTGGACAGAATATGTATCCCGTGAAGTTTGTTGTTCAGCTTTGTGAGACTTCTCTTTTTTTCCTTTTTTTTTAGGCCCTGTATGCTTCCAAGATTATCTCATATGCTCAAGGCTTCATGCTGCTGAGGCAAGCAGCCAAAGAATTTGGCTGGACGCTGAATTACGGTGGTATTGCACTGATGTGGAGGGGAGGCTGCATCATCAGAAGGTAATTGAGATGAGGAGGTAACCTGCTGAGGGGAGAAGAGCAGGCAGTTTAGTGGATGAGGTGCTTGGCTGACAAGCCTAGGGATTCCCTGGAAAATCCATGGAGGTACTCTGCTTGTAAGATTCTGAGAGGCTGTAGACAACACCAAGGGTTCCTAGATGAACTCATTATTCTGGTGGCTTAACTGCTGAAAATTTTCTTGGTCTTTGTCATGTTTGGAATGTTAGTCTGGCTGAGTCAAGTTTTGGCACTGTAGTTTTTGAACTGTGGGCCTTTTTTGGAAGCTGTGACATTTATTCCTGGTTAACTTTTGCCTAGTGTGTTCCTGGGAAAAATCAAAGATGCTTTTGATCGAAACCCTGATCTCCAGAATTTGCTGTTGGATGATTTCTTTAAGAGAGCTGTAGAAAACTGTCAGGTAAGTTCCAAGGAAAGGAGAGCATAAAACCAATAATTTACAAGCAGGACTGTCATGGTTCTCTTTGATACTGATTGGAAACTGAAGGTTCCCATTTTACTGGTAGAGAAGAGCCTTAGGCAGAAATCCAGCAATTCAGAAGGACCATAATATGAGGAAAAAAGGCCTGGCCTGTGTGAACATTCTGTGCCCTGTGCCTGCTGTGCAGCTGGATTTCAGACCAGAAAGCTCTGTTCCAGTACCATTGTTTGCAGTAGCCCCAGAACAACAGTTCCAGACCCACCCATTCTGTAGGCCTGTGTCTGTGCAAACACTGTCCTGATTTGGATGGAGCTGATGGGTGCAATTAAAACCACATTATCTGGCCAAAAAGAAGTCTCATTTTACCATTAGTAGTACTTGTAACTGAATGTGAATATTCCATGCAAATTGCTGGACCAGATGAAGAGCTGAACTGAGGATTATCCCCGTCTGCCTGCAGTGACAGTGCTGTCCCCTTGGGCAAGCTTTGTTCTGTGCTTGGTGAGGGGTCTGGGAGAGCCTCAGAGCTCAGAACATTCCCCGTTCCCCACTGAGTTCATGCTTTTGAAATGCTCTGACCATGTTCCTGTGAAAGAACAGCATCCTTGCTTGAGGCTGTGGTTTGACTGCATGTCTGAACTGTTCTCATCCTGCTCTTAACTCTGTCCTACTTGTCATTATTTTAGATCAACCTCATTTATGTAAAATCAGGAATCTGCTGCTGTATTTGCTCAGACTTGGTTGTTAGAGTTCACAGATGGTGAAACAGCACACACAGTTGTGCTGGAGTAGGTCTGCTCGTACCTCTGTGAGCACAGAACTGAGCAGTTTCCTTTTCCCCCCTCTTCCTCCCTCCCAGGAGTCCTGGCGCCGTGTGATCAGCACTGGTGTGCAGATTGGAATCCCTATGCCCTGCTTCACTACAGCACTTTCATTTTATGATGGGTACAGGCATGAGATACTGCCAGCTAACCTGATCCAGGTAGGTACTGACATCTCATCATGCTGTTCTTTAAGTACTGCTTTAAAGGTCTCAATGGCAACATGTCCTAATCACTCACAGTATAGGCTGCCTGATATATTTCTGTTGTACTTGAAATTCATGTCAGCACTCAAACAAATGTCAGCTTCACATTCTTGTGAAGCTTACACTTACACAGAGCTGGCTGAAAAACACCAGAAATACTGGCGTGGCAGTGCCCTGTGTTTGTATTCCATTGTGAACCAAGGGTAATGTTAACTTTGAATTATGGCAACATGTCCTAATCACTCACAGTATAGGCTGCCTGATATATTTCTGTTGTACTTGAAATTCATGTCAGCACTCAAACAAATGTCAGCTTCACATTCTTGTGAAGCTTACACTTACACAGAGCTGGCTGAAAAACACCAGAAATACTGGCATGGCAGTGCCCTGTGTGTTTGTATTCCATCTGTGAACCAAGGGTAATGCTGTCTTTGAATGTTTGGATGTATGGAAGTGCTGGTTTTTTACATTAGTACGAAGCAGAAATCCTGCAATTGCATTTCTGCAGAACTCTTAATTTAATTATTAGATATTAGTACATTTTTCATTGCAGTGGCTTTGCTAATGATGAGAAAATAATTTTGAGTGTTATAATATTGGAGTCCAATCTTATTTCTGCTATTTCTCGTTAGGTAACAGTAGGTGCAACTTCTAGGACTCAGATGGTACTGACATTTGTGTGTGGTTTGTCTGTGTTCTCATTCCAGGCTCAGCGTGATTACTTTGGTGCACATACATATGAATTATTATCAAAGCCAGGGGTATTTATCCATACTAACTGGACAGGCCATGGAGGAAATGTGTCCTCTTCTGCTTACAATGTCTAATGGAAATCCTTCCACCTGGAGCCCAGATACTGTAGCTCTCCAGCATTCCTTCTAGAATATCACTTTTTACTGTACTCCACTAGAACTTGTGTTTGGACACTTTTGTAATAAGTTGGGGGTGTATTTCATACCTATATGTATATCTCTCTATATGTATCATATAAGAAAACTAAAATAAATTTAGTTATAAATGTATTGAGGTGTTTTCTTTCCACTGGTGCTGGCCAAAACTAGGTAAAATGTTTTTGTGCAGTCTTTAATAGAATTTATAGTCACGTTAGGTTTATAGGATTGTAGTGCATAAATTGCTAGGGATCAAGACAGAGATGCCTGCAGTTCAGGAACTGCTGAGATGGAGAGTGGCACACAGCACAGGAACTTACCCAAGGCTCCAGGCAGGTCAAGGCCTTCCTTCCATGGCCGTGGTTTATTGCTGACAGGCAGCAGCTGGCTCTTACAGGTTTGATTCCTGGCCATTCAGCTGCTCAGTCTGTCACGCTGAGCTCTGTGCTTTGGTGGGAGCGTGGCGTGGGGCACGGAGAAACAAAACTCGTACTCCTGTCCCCACTGCCCCTCCAGCTGTTCTCAGTGTTAAACTCTGGCATAAGCACTTTGCATTGCTGTGTGCTTGCACTTTTCCCCCCAAATCTCTCTGATTCTTTGCCTCTTTTTCCACCGGGGCAATTAAAAATAGCCACAGCAACATGCAAGTTTGGCTCTATTTTATATCCTCCCCCTACAATGCTACTGCCAGTCATCTTCAGGCCATCTGAAAATTCACCTGGCTGTCTGAACCTTTTTATTTCTCAAAACCTGCTAAATTTTGTGCTGTGCCCACTGATTTTTATATGAATTTTTTGCCATATCTATTTCTGCTAAGACAGCTACTTAATCACTCGTTGAATATCTGTATAAGGCAAAGCGTAGCTTTCAGCTGAAGGTACCTTTGCTGCAGATCGCGCAGTAAGCTGCGGGAGCTCCGCGGAACAAACGCGGCCACAGCGGCGCTGCCTCACGGGGCCGCGCGTCCCCTCACGGGCCCGGGGCGGGCCCAAGATGGCGGCGGCCCCGCCCCGCCGCGCGCGGGAAGCGCCGCGGGCGGGAGATCGTGAGGGCAGCGATGGCGGCGGCCGGCGACGAGCAGCGGGAGATGCTCGCACAGGTACCGAGCGGCGCACGGCGCTTTGGGGCGAGCCCGCTGTGTCGCTGCCTGCCCAGCGGGAGATGCTCACGCAGGGGCCGAGCGGCGCACGGCGCTTTGGGGCGAGCCCGCTGTGTCACTGCCTGCCCTGCCTTGGTCCCCGCAGAGGCTGAAGGCGGCGGTTCACTACACAGTGGGGTGCCTGTGCCAGGAGGTGGAGGAGGACAAGGACGTGCAGTTCAGCAAGCAGAGCATCGCGGCCATCGCGGAGATCACCTTCCGGCAGTGCGGTACACCTGGGCTGCCGCGGGTTGCCTCCTGTTACCTGGCTCACCGCAGCGTTCGTGTCTGCTCGGGAGCCATCGCTGCAGGGCTTCAAAAATAATCAAAAATAATACCTGATAGCGCCCAACTCGGTGTCACCGGGGCATTCTCTTGCTTTTTTTTTTTTTTTTTTTAAATACAAGAAATACTAGTTTGACTTTTCAGACCTGAAAAAAGCATTTACATGTATTGTGTGCCTACCTGTTTGTGTACGAGTGGTGCCTAACAGCCAGCTAAGGTCACGTCTCATAACTGACTTGGTAACTTGTGTATTGTGTCTCTCTTCCCACTCACTGTTTAAAAATATATTACATCTTTGTGTTTTCTCTAGAAATCTTTGCAAAAGACCTTGAAATGTTTGCAAGGTATGCACTGATTGTTACAAAGGCTTTCCTTTTATTTTGTGTTAGCTCCTAGATAATCTTTAAAACACGTCTTGTAACTCAAGTTTTTAAAGGGCTGCTTAAATGGTGTGTGAAGTTATGAAATAGAAATTCCCTGTACTTTTTGATCTTGGCCTATTATGGTAAGTGTTGGCAAAAACGTTAAGGAGTGTTTTTTGGTGTCATGCAGGCATGCAAAGCGAACCACAGTCACTGCAGAAGATGTGAAGCTCTTGGCTAGAAGAAGCAGTTCTTTGGTGAGATGCACTGCATTTTCTGTCTGGCAACATTCTTAAACCAGTTAATTCCTAAAATTAACTTAATTCCTTAATTTTCCTTTATTCATTTGAATGAAGGTTATGCATGGTGAAGCAACTGTTGCATAAGCAACTTCACTGTCTTCTGAGATAGTGAAGGCACAATCCAGTGATTTTTAAATTTTCATCTTATTTTGCTTCGCTCTGCCTCACCGTGGCGAGGTGTAACACAGATCTGACTGCAGTTCAAGCAGCAGTGCTCTTGTTGCACCAGGGCTGCTGAAGTTCCAAGTTCAAAAGTGCAATAAGCAGACACAGCATCGTGAATCACTTTGCTTTTTCCTGATGTTGTGTTTCTCTGTTGTAGCCTAAGGTCAGGAACAGCTTGAGTCTCTCTCAGGGTGCTGTGTCTCCCAACACTAATACAGGGATCCCAGAATCACTGCATTGCCTCCTGTGCTGATCTAGATGATGTTCAGTGGATAAAACTCACTAATCTGCTAAGACATGCCTATACGTTGATCCATGAAAAATGCTTCCATACTAATTTTACTTTTATGTAAGGAAATTTTTTCCTTCCATATATGGATTTGAAATATACAATATGAACTTGCCTGAGAAGGCAAGTAAATGTTTTTGGAGACTCTCATTTTTCTTGTAATGATAACTTGCCCTGTTAATTTCTCTTCAGTATTTCTTTCTAATGTCTTGTGAATGAATGAAGTTCCTCAGTAGAGGACTAATTGTTTAACTTATTGTCCCCAGCTAAAATATATCACTCAGAAGAGTGAAGAGCTTGCATCAAGTAACCTGGAGCAGAAGGAGAAGAAGAAAAAGAAGTCCAGTGCAGCTAAGGGAGAGAGGTCTCCTGGGGACCAAGAAGCAGCTGTGACTGAGAATGAAGATTCCAACATGGCATGATTTGTCTGTTGAGTAACGTTTCAGGTCATTTACTGTCCTAGAGAAACCAGAGTTAGCCTATTTGTCTTGCAGGTTAGGTCAGTAATGAATCTTTAGCATTTAATGAATGCAATTGGATTTTTATTGTTCCAAAAATGAAAAGCCTGTCAGAATTCAGTGAGTTTACAGCCAAAGTGCCTTAATTGCTCACAAAAGGTATCTGTTATTAAAATTAAAATACTTTAAATAAAGAATTTGAAATAGACCAATCTCACTGAATAACTCCGTATGTGCAATACCCTTCATTCTGCTACTTTCTCTAGCAAAAATTTCTCTTGACTTTTTCCTTGCTTCCAGTTTTGCTACTTTTGCTGAGACATGTTGAATATTTTGTGTTTACTAAGCCACCTCTCGCTCGTTGTCTTGGCAGTTGAAGGTGTTCTGTGTTTCTCCCCTGGGGCACTGCAGGGGTGCAGCTGTCACTGTTGGTAATTCCCATTTTCGCGGCTCAGGCAGGGATCCCATTGCCCTCTGCTGGGCTGGCAGAGCCTCACCCAGTGCGATGAACTTACAAAGAATGAAAATAACTAATCAAAGCATGGGGCTTTCCAGGGGTAGCACAGCCATCCACGAAAGACTGGACAGGAAAAGCTTGCAGTAAGTACCTATTCAAAACACAGGAAACCTTTTTACCTGCCATGGCCTATGATGTCACAATCCAAATGTGGTCAGAAGCAAACAGACAAAAAGTTGCCTGGAGGCTTCTCCCCTAAGTCCAGTCAGTTCCCAGCTGGGTAGCTTCACCTGAAGGTAGCCTCAGTAGTTTTGTTTGTTGGCCTAAAATTACTAAACTGTTTAGAATATTTATTAGTTGCACTGTCTAACTGACTATGCCTAATTAAGCTGGAGTGTTGCATGCCAACAGGTTCACGTGGATGGGTGCTGTAGGAATACTTACCCTGGACTATTTAAGGCTGTGCTAGATCAGAGGATTTACCATGCTGCTACAAAATACATCTCCACCTACTAAAAGTTCCTCAGAAATTTCATCTCACTTGTCAGATGTTTTTCCATATCCATCTGCTATTCCCACACAAGAAGAGCAGACAGTGCCAGGTGAGAGTTCAGGTGCAGTCACCATGTTTTGCCTCAACACTGTGTAAGTTAAAGACAGTGCTTCTGTGTTCAATTTCTTCATCCTCTTTCCTTAAGGTAATACTGTATTTATCGGCCCATTCTTTTAATTATAGCAGCTGGTGGAAATATCAAAACTAGTCCAACAGAAAGATAAAAAGGTTTTATTGATGTTAGAAAAAAGACTTTAACAAATTTAAAAATAAGCCAGTTAATACAAAAGCATCATGATGCTACACTAATGATTAGGAGAATAACAGCAGGCCAAATGCAAGTCCTCTGTCACACAGCCTTACAAAGCAATTATTTCCACCTTTGCTGTGTTTTACATGATAGTTCTTACACAGCATCCAGGAGACAGGAGTTCCTTACAGAAAAAGCACTGAAGTTGAAGGACTTTGAATTTACTTTAACTGATTAAATCAGGATGAGAATTCAAGTTCCTAGCTGCCAGGCTGGAGCCTAAAGCCAGGCAGCAGCTGGCTATCCCCTCTGCCCTGATCACTGACTGTGCCTCCGAGTGTCTTCCAGAGATCCTCCATCCTTTTCACACTGAAAATGGTGGGAGGACAAAGTAAGCAAGCTGCCTGGGAGCTGTATCCACCATTATCAGATGGAAGCTGCTGGCTACCAACCAGGTATTGAAAGCTGAACACTTACGTGCTGTGCTTAGCAATACCATTGTTCTGGCATTCTGCAAAAAGTCCAAATCCCTTTGCTTACACAATTCAAATCACCAGAGGAGTTTAAGCCTCAGGATAATGTCCAGATTTTAGCTGTTCTATAGCCAGACCACAGTGTGACCAGCAAACTATGGTTCCAGGATGTGTCTTTGCTTGTACTGATTCTAATGCAAAAGCAAAACCCGAAGTGCAGACAGCAAAGCAGTGTTATTTTTTGCGTTTTGCACTGGGCCAGTCCCCCCAGGGAAGCGTTTTCTTGCCCTTGGACGTGCTCCGTAGGGAGTGCAGAGCCTGCACTTGTTTGAGGCGCTTGGAGAGCTCCTGGTCACAGGCTTCCTGCAGAGCTGCAGCTTTCTGCTTGTCCCACCCCAGAGCCGAGGCCAGGCCTGCTGCGTCTTCCTTCAACACCAGCTGTAGCAAGACACATTGCAAACAGACTTTTCTGCTGAGTCCCCAGCCACTCACCCTCTGCTGAACTGACCACAGCAGGAATGAGGACAGATTGTTAACAGACTTTTCTGCTGAGTCCCCAGCCCCTAACCCTCTGCTGAACTGACCACAGCAGGAATGAGGACAGATTGTTAACAGACTTTTCTGCTCTGTCCCCAGCCCCTAACCCTCTGCTGAATTGACCACAGCAGGAATGAGGAGAGATTGTTAACAGACTTTTCTGCTGAGTCCCTGGCCACTCACCCTCTGCTGAACTGACCACAGCAGGAATGAGGACAGATTGTAAACAGACTTTTCTGCTGAGTCCCCAGCCCCTAACCCTCTGCTGAATTGACCACAGCAGGAGCAAGGCACTTTGGAACTGCAGATGTTCCCAGCTTCCATCACCTATCCCGTGGGCTAGTGCATTTCCAGTAATTTGCCAACACTCAATGCTTGAAGCTCTGTCCAGGTGTTCAAAAGGAAGAGAAAGCAGTTACTTTTCTACAGCAGGGAAAAGCAAGAGTAGCAAGTTCACAGCTTGAAAGAACACCTTCCTAAATGGTTACAGTTTATCTAGACTTTCCTTTCCAATCTGTATTTACAGTTTTTTCCAAAATAAGGAGGTTTATATTTTGATTTGGGATGTATAAAAGAAACAAAATTATTTTGTGGCTTCCTCAGTGTTACTGAGGAAGAGAAATTAATTAAATTTCAGCACTTTGAAACAATCTACTGACATCAGAGCCTCCCTAAGCAAGGACAGCTTCCCCTATAGCCTCTCTTTTGGAGGGAGAGCTTAGCCAGAATATGGTTTGTGTCATTCTCACCCACCTCTAGATCCTGACTGTCCAAGGAGAGCTCTGGAGCAGGTTTCTCTCTCAGAGCAGCAAGGACCTGGTTGCTGAGTGCTGTTGTGGCTGAAGTATCTGTGCTGCTCGTACCTGTGTCAACCACATCCATCTCCTTCCTTGGTGCAGCCTCAGGTTCTGAAAAGGAGCACACTCAGTACAGCCCCTGACAAACACAGGACAGGAAAAGTGGCCTGGACTGCTTTGATGGTTGTGAGATTAATAAAATATACATCCAATCTAGGTGCATCCTGGAACTTAAGAAATCCATAATGTTAAGGAGGACTCCAGGATCTAAGCTTTTCTCCCAGTATTCTGCTTTCAGGCTCTGTGAGAAATGTGACACAGCAGCAAGAGGGCTCTCAGGTCAGAGAATTCTTACACTATGTACACTACAACCTGTACCAACCCCATTTAACAGCAGCTGATCAAATCACTCACTCTACTTTATTTATTCCACTCAGCTAGGAGGTGAAAACCTCCTTCTCTAGCATACAAACGCTCCCTACCTGCAACTTTGCTTAAGATACTGTCTTCAGTTTTCAAGGCCTCCAGGTAGAGCTCCAGGAGCTGCCTGGACTGACGCTCCTCTTCTCGTCTGTCCAGCACCTGCTGCAGGGTGTCCTGCAGCACCTGCACTTTGGTTTCACTTTGGGCAAGTTCTTCTGCCAGGTCTGAGCGTGGCACATCAATCAGCACCTTAAAACAGCGAGGGGGCTCCTGAGTAACTCATTTCATGGCACTACTGCAGAACAAACAACGTACAAACCAAGCATGTTCCACAAGGTTTCCTGTCATAGCAAGTCCCCTGAGTTCTGAGAGGCTGCAGTAGCATTACACCAGGCAGCATTTTTTACTAAAAGCCAAAAGGCATCCAAGAAGGTGTGGAATCACGTGCAATTTTAACAGAAATCTTGCAAACTAATGGCAAAGCACTGCTTCTTCAGAGTGCATGGAAATATTCAAAGGAAAGGCAGTAGCCTGGCACCTGGGAAGCTGCACACTGGGGAGAACAAGAAGGGACAGTCACTGCCATGCCTCCCCACAGACAAGGTGTTAAGCAGTCAGAAACTTCAATCCACCAGCTCTGGAAAGTGACAGCAGTTCTTCAAACGCCTCTGGAGCAGACAGACCTGGCCTGCCTGGAACAACACACTGGATAGTTGGTGACTAAGAGCATCCTTGGACATTCAAATGTTTTCCCTTCAAGGAGAAGTTTGACTCTGGCACCAAGAGCCAAAAGCAGCAGCTGAATTAAGCCTGAGCTCTTGTTTATTGAGGCTCTACTGAGATAAATGGATGATGGACAGATGCAAGGACAGGGACTGGGGGTTTCCCCACTGTACCTGGAGGTCTTCTTCAGACATCAGGATGATGTTGGACAGGTCATCCTTCAGCTGCCTGGCTAGCTGCTTCCACTTCTCAGCAGCACTGTCCACTTCATCCACAGACTCCAAGAACCAGGATGTTCCACTGCCTGACACAAGAGTCACCAGTTTCATGGGTCATTCCTGATCACCTGACCCTGCCTAATGCCACTAGGCGTGCTCCAAACACACCTCCCCTTCCATGCTTCCTCACTCACAGCATACCTAAGCTTCTGCTGGACCATTTCTCGTCCTTGGCCAGTGCCACAAACTTGGTGTTAGGTGGCAAACACAAGAAGTAATCTTCATCATCCACAATGGTCCCATCTTCTGCCAGCACCAAGGTGATGGGTTCCCGGGCCTTGTCAAGAGCCAGAACATCACAAGCTGCAGAACAGAAAAATTAATTAACAGAACGATAAAAGCGACATAGCACTGCCCGTTTATTACCCCCAGCACAAAGGACAGGCAGCTCTCAGTGACGGAGGCTGGAGACCAGGAGCTGTCTCCTCACAGTGCTGCACATTAGCTGGGTCCCACAGCGGGTCCCTGTGGGCCACAGCGGGTTCCAGAGGGTCCCACAGCGGGTCCCACAGCGGGTCCCAGTGGGTCCCACAGCGGGTCCCACAGAGGGTCCCAGAGGGTCCTACAGCGGGTCCCACAGCGGGTCCCAGAGGGTCCCACAGAGGGTCCCACAGCGGGTCCCACAGAGGGTCCCACAGCAGGTCCCACAGCGGGTCCCACAGCGGGTCCCACAGCGGGTCCCAGCGGGTCCCAGCGGGTCCCACAGCGGGTCCCCCCTCACCTTTGTCGCGCAGCTCCCCCAGGGAGGAAGCGGCCACGCCGTGCTGCTCCGGCCCGTCCCGCCGCCGCAC